AGCGAAATGTAGTTTTAGTCTCTGTATCACCATCACACAACTTCTCTCACTTTGCGAGCCTGCCTGACTTGCATACCTTATATTCATGTAGCCTCTTGCATCCCAACCCATCCGTCTCCGCTGACACTTTATTTACCTTCCCGCCTCAACTGTACTACTTACTCTAAGTGTGCCGACTAATCCAGTCTCGTCTGATCGGTCCCCTGCTCTCCGAATTCATTCAGACTGCTGTGACGTTACCGGCATTGAATGAGAAGTGCGAACGCTCTGTCCCCATTAACTCTCGAGCCCCATGGACTTTTCCACACCTTATAAGTAAACCTCTCCCTATCCGGACCGTCTCCTTATAACGTTCTCTATTTTCAAAACTTCTCTAATTGGACTGCCAACTCTCAGTGCCCTGTAATAACCTAGTCTCATCTGACCGGTCTGCTTCTTTGACCCTTTCCAGACCAGCAACATTTAAACGGTCTAGACTCTGTAGACTCAAGCTATATCGCACTTACGTTGACAGCCTGCTAGACTTGTTCACCCTCTATTTATATAGTCACCTCCACCTCTCGACCCACTCCATTTGCCCTCCTAAAATTAGCTGTTGGACTCAATGTCGTTTCGCCGACTAATCCTGTCTCGTCTGTTTGGTCTCCTGCTTTCCAACTCCTCTCAGACTCCTGTGACACTACTAGCCATCGTTCAGATGACTGAGCGCCGTTCGTATCCAATCATTCTTCTATTGGAAGTTTGAGTCTCTGTCATCCGTAGCTCAGCCTCAGCTGATCAGCCAAATTCCATGGGACTGCTACCAGGCTACCGGGATGTTAGCGGTCTAGGCTTCGTCGATCCAAAGCACTTTCTCCCTCACCTTGATATCCTGCTGAACTTGTTCGCCCTATGTTGATATAACCACTTCTATCTCTGACCAGTCCAATCCTACTGACTCCACTTACCTTCCCAAATGAACCATGGGACTCAATCACAATGCGCCGACCAAGTCCAACCTTGGCAGATCGGTCCTCTTCTCTCCTACTTCTGCGACGCTGCCTGCTATGCTCGGGAGACTGAACGCTCCGTCCCCATTACCTCTCGAGCCCCGTGGACTTTTCCACACCTTATTAGTAAACCTCTCTCTATCCTTATGGCCCCTGTACTATCATTTCTTCTCTAATCGGACTGCCAACTCTTAGTGGCTTGTAATAACCTAGTCTTATCTGACCGGTATGCTCCTTTGACCTTTTCCAGACTAGCAAGATATACCGATCTAATCTCTCTAGACTCACAACTATGTCTGGCTTATATTGACAGCCCGCTAGACTTGTTTACCCTTGATTAATATAGGCACTTCCATCAGTAACCTGTACCCTCAAATCTTCAATCGGATGACCGACGCTTAGTGCCATGCCCTTCTTTGTCATTATCTGATCAGTGAAACTCTCTGGGACTACTATGAGGCCTCTGGATGTGTCGACTTCTCGAGTCTCGTCTGTTCGGTCTCCGGCTCTCAGAGTGCTCTCAGATTACCGGGATATTACCGATGCTATTTCAGCACTGAACGTTTCATACTTCGCACCAGAGCGTCCCTGGCTCACCACACTTTAGTAGTAAACCTTTTTCATCCTGACTATCGTCTCTTAATTGCTCTCATGAGTTACTCTTCGCACTGCCGTCCGCATTCTTCCGCTCATAGCTGATTCCTTAAATTTCCTTTTCTTCTTGGAACGTTGCTTTACCTATGTTGCTCCCGCATTCGGTCTCAACCATGTTGTCCTTAGTTTCACATAAGATGCCGCTCGCATTCGGTCTGCTGTCATCATAATCGGTTTACCTGTTACTCTCCAACAATCATATTAATCGCTTAACGTTGTCAACACGCTTTGTTATACCATTCTTTCTACCTAGTAGTTGTAGTCTGAGGCACACCAGCGACGTGATGTAAAGAACGCGCCTCCAAATCATGTATACTAAACAAAATTACATAAATTTTAATGTATCATAGGCACCGTTGCGCGCCACCAGTCTATGTTTGTGCTTCTTGCTTCGTTGCTGTCTTTCTGTTTGGCTGCCTCTTGTCCGTTGCCCGTTTTCTCCCGAGATTTCCACAGATACATCCGCCAAAACAAGAAGGTTTATCCACTGGGAATAGTCGACCCACTTTCAATAGCCAGCTGGTTTACATGCTTGTTCTTTTCTCCGGGAGGTGAAGAACCCACACATCGTTCCAAATGGAGCTCTTTCCGCCATTCTGGAGAAGCTACCACCACGGGGTCTAAACAAATGGGTTTAGCTCGCCTCGTACTCACAATGGATCCACTGTTCCACAACTGGAGACTGACAATTCTGGCGTGATTACCTTCACTGCCTCAAACATTCCGATTCTCCAGTCACCTGGAGCTTTTCTGATGTCATTTCACGGAGAGCACTGCGCGCGCATAAGCGTCTTTTCCGATGATTTTTCCTGGAGTTCTCACTTGGTCATGGAAACAATTGCACTTACATTTGAAGGAAATACTTGTCCACTTCGCGGAGGATAGCACTTATTCCTGTTTTGGACATATTCAGACACAAGAAACAACTGCACTCACCGTCCCTATGACAAGTCCAGCATGGATAGCTGGACACGGGTTGCGAGCCGGACAATATAATAGAAAAAGCCGGCCTCTATTAACAATATGTTTACTCACCCGCATCATTATCATTCGACTCTGCGACTCTTTTACATCATTGACTGGCTTCAACGACTATTGCCGGTTCAGTACTAAGCTATTTGGCCAACCACCGAAAAAATTATGGCTGTCAACCGACTGCGAATAATAGAGTGCAAAATCGGTCTATACGATGCATTGCCGACTAGCACTACAGTTCAACGGAAGCTACGACAGTGTTCCAGGACGTGGTGGGTTTTCGCCTGGCAAGCGTTCTCCCTATAAAAAGCCACAAATGTCCGCTTAACAACACTGCAACGTGGCGGATGTGACTCGCCACAAAATAAAGTCACAGCTATACATTTCACACTGACGCAGTCCTCAGCCTCCAACATCGAACCTGTGCAACTGATTTTACTATGAAGAATGCTTTAGTGGAGTACCGATCATCCCGGCTTCGTAATGGTCATCGATTGCACTAAACTTTGTTCGGTCTCCTGTGCTCATGGATCACTACATGGCAAATTTACCCCCCACTTGTATCTTGACGCAACAGTTTTTGCGCGCCACGGCGCCATTATGATCCTTGGTCTGACTATTGCCTGACAATATGCTCGCTCTTATGGACTACATCTTTTCGTTTATTACTTTCATTGTAACGAAATGTTTTAATATTCCAAAGAAGCTATGCTTGTATGCATATTTGATCATGCCTTTTAGAGGTGTGTCTCGCTTTACAGAGAATATACTATTTATTTATTTATTTATTTATAATGTTCTGGGATCCCACTATTAATCCACGAACTTCTTAAGTAAGTAAACGACGAAAAGTTTGGTTGTACTTTATTCTAACCACACCTTTTACTGTTCCAAAGCAGCTATGTTTGTAGGTATATTTAGTCGTGCCTTCACTTGTACGCCTCCTTCTAGTGGGAATATGCAATTTATTTATTTATTTAAAACTTCAGTAGCGTAGCCATTGTACTGACTAATAACGCAAGTGCATTTTATAATTGCATTGAAGCAAGAAATGTAGATATGCAGCTTTTCAATATATTGTACGATCAACATATGCAGAAACA